AGACTTCTTTTCAGATGTAACCCCAGTACCACAGGAGATGCTTGGCATAGAGAGGTAGAGATTAATGGAATAGAAAGAGATTCAATCCTCACCATTCCAGAGCCAAGGCAGAAGATATCACAATGTGCTCACTGAACTACAAATTCAATCCACACACACACACAAGAAAAAAAAAACAAAACAGAAAACTTTTCAAAATGACACTTGTGCAAATACAAGATCTTAACTAAAAAAGAAAAAGGTATTTGATTGGTGAGGGTCCTAAATGTACAAGGCTCTCTGTAGTGTGTGTTTATCAAATCTTAAGCTACCTTAACATACATGAATCTACTCCTACTCAGAAAGAAATCTAAAGGAGTCATATATAAGAGGCATCTTCCCCTTAAATGTCTTCTCTTTTTCAGAACTTAAATGAAACATATTTCTTCCACAGTTTGCCTATACGACCATGTCTATGATAATGTGGACATACAGAGTATTAAAAAGATAACTTGTAAAAAGATAACTTGTAAGAGTTACTCTTTCCTGTCCATTATACAGAACTCCTACTCCTTTGATGAATATGATTAGAATAACTTAATGCTAGCGCAATGCCTGACACCAAATAGATGACATAGCTTTTTAGTATAAAGAAAATGTGATGGAGTTAGACAGCTGTCAGTTAGAATCCTGGTTATTTACCCGCTGAACGATTTAACCTAACAATCTATAAAATGGGCATTTTAAGAATAGTGTCTGTGTCTCAGGATTATTGTGAGGATTAAATAAGACATTAAATCGCTGTGAAATTCCTTTAAAGAATGCACATAATACTTACCTGGCAGGGGAGATACCATGATCACGAAGGTGGTTTTCCCAGGGCGAGGCTTATCCATTGCACTCCGGATGTGCTGACCCCTGCGATTTCCCCAAATGTGGGAAACTCGACTGCATAATTTGTGGTAGTGGGGGACTGCGTTCGCGCTCTCCCCTGATTAAAAAAAAAAAAAAAAAAAAAAAAGAATGCACATAATAAATAGGCTCTGAATAAATACTAATGTCCTCCCCTTCTTAAGCAAGAATACCCCCAAAAGTGTCCTTGCAGTCCATTCTCTGCTTGGATCCTCGTTTTGAGCCATAATACACATTTCTGAAATGATAAGGGTAACCTGTTCCCTGAGAGTTTGTTAGAATCCAGACACTGTACAGGTGCTTTGGAACATTACTTCCTTCAATACTCAAAACCCTTTGAGGTCATACGTATTAGAATCCCCATTTACAGAGGTTGAAACAAGGTGCAAGGAGGTGAGAGTAGAAGCTATGAAATGGATGATAGACCAAATTTTCAGGAAAATGTTTTTGTAATCACTTAAAAGCACCAAAATCTTCCCACTAGGAAAGATTTGTTGCAGTACTTTATCTTTTTGACAGGGCTACTATTTTGGAAGACATGGAGAAAGCACAGAAGGTAGTATATGTCTAGATATCAGCAAAGCGTTTTACAAAGTTAAGGACATAAACAAGAAAGAAAACATGAACAGGGCAGTGATTAGGAAGCATTGATCTTGACACAGCAGATGCTTAAATACTGGTTTAGTCCAGAGCTGATATTCAATCTACACACAATGCCGTAGACATGCCAGCTATTTACAGCTGGTCTCTCTCCTTAATGATCAGTGCCCAAGTCACCAATTGTTAAATATTTTGAATATCACACCAGTTGAATAAAAGAAGAGCTGCATACATATTTTTTCTGTGCATAAAATTTGATATAAACCTGAACATTTTAAAATTTTGATTTCTAATTTCAACAAATAAAAGATGCAAATTCATGTTCCTTTATCTCAAGATAGAAATTTACATTTCCAACTATAGGATTCATAACCAATTAAAATTCATGATTTGGCTTGCATATATTTTCCTAGACTGTTGTTATTAATTATGCATAAAATAGAAACAATACCACTTACTCTTATCTAGTTAATGCTACTTCTGAAACTCAACCAAGTCATGTGGTTAAAAGAATTTTGAGTGCATCAAGGCTGGATAGATAATGCAATTTATCAATCTGTAGCAAATGCTTTTTCATAGCAGAATTTATTGCAGATAAAAATATTAATTTAAAAAGCATTTTTAGAAAGTTGCATACAGGGATGAAGAAAAATACAGAGGAAATTCCCTGCTCCTAGATTAAGTCCATTTTTGGTTTCTTCTCCTTCCCTGTGAAGTTACCCACTTTGGGTGCATTTCTCTCCCACAGTACTTCCAACAGAGAGGAAACATGGCAAAGAAAATGAGAGCAGCTCAAATCAGTCTTCATAGTTTTCTGATAGGAGTGCTAGTTAGAGGTTCAGGGGCATTACTTATAGTTTGGATGTGATATATCATCCTGGTGTCTCACTGAGATTTGGTTTTTACAAAGGAAATGAAAAGAGTGCTTCTAGTTTTTGTATTCCTACAGTTTTCCTTCCAACAATGTTCCCATGCAAAAGAAAAACTTTTTGAACCTTGGCTATGCCTTCTAGCACAGATAATGACAACTACTTAAACTGCATTTAAAAAGTGCTGAGTAGTTGATCCTAGTACCTAATGATGTTACTTATCTCCTCGGAGTCTGATTGACACTAAAAATAATAAATTAGAACAGAAAATGATTTTACGAGATCTATTGGCTGACGGGCAGGCTGAGCATAATATCCTCCATTACACTTGTCATTGAATTCTGTATGGTTCAGATCTGAACAAGGAAGGCAGGATTGTACTGTGGTTTCATGATTTTTATCTTCAATCACCCATCTCTCAAACATATAAAATTAATTTTCCTACTTACAAATTCAGGCGATGCAAAATCAGGACCAAAAACACTTTCTGTGGTGATGCAAACATTAGAGTGGGCAGCCTATTGCAAAGGCAGGAGTGAAATAATAAAGTCAAAACTGTCATTCCTGGGTTAGCGAGGATCTAGCTTCCGAGACACCCATTTCCTTCATCTAATTTAGTAAATTTATAAATTCTAAATCAATAAGCTATACCTGCTGAATCATTGAGATCCATTTGGAAAATAATTTTAGGAGTGCCATACTGAAAGCTATCACATATAACACAATAAAGTCATAGGTTTCCTTTAAATAGTTAGCAAACCAAAATTAATTTTTACAATTATTTACAAGACAGTTGGATTGTTAAATGTATACCACAAAATTTTTTTCTTTTTTAATTTCAGCAAATCATGGTAAATTTGTTCTTTGAGTTTTGGGGGAGAGAAAAAAAACAAAGTTCAGAGAAGAAGTTTAAAATATTACTTTTTATTTTAAGTAATATCTGTGAATCATTGAGGATGATTTTTAATTTTGATTCATTCAATGAGCTCTACTAATGCAATGATTTTCTCCATGGAAGTCCTTAACCACAGTGGCCATTTGCAGCTGATGATTTTTTTTTTATATAAATAATTTATAAAGCCACTATACACTTATACTTTTACACTGAAAGAGAAAGAGAGAGAACAGAATTGCATCTTAAACTCTATTTACAAATTTACCTTGGCAGGCCCTCTTACTGCCAATAGGAAACGATGTTGCATATTTAATTTGCTCTTTTGTTACAACGGGGCTTAGGTTAGTTAATTTCAATTTTCGATTTCAAAAGCTATCAAATATGGCTCAGATGAGAAATCAATTTTTCTCAGCTGCCTCTGTTTTTGTTATGGGAGGCATCTCATTGGCTGAAGGTGAGCCATGTGACATGGCAAGAGATTAGTTCACCAGACCCTGTGTTGCTGCCACCTCAATTACTGCCTGCCTCTTGTAATTTAGCCTTATAACACCTAATTTCAAGACAGAACTCATATTTAATTCATGAAAGCTTCCACAAGAGTAATTGTGAAATAAATTGCCATAGAAGATATCCATTTGTGACTCATTTTAATTTTGTATGCTAGTGGCATGCTATTTATTCTACTTGTTTAACACTTTAGCACAAACATTTTTTTTTTTAATATTGAACTTTATGCACTGATAGCTGCATACTTTGCACTATTTTCCCACATTACATCATCTCCTTCACCGGGATTTCCTTTCACAAAACTTTCACCCAGTGGTATTTCCAAAGATTGTTAAAATCAAGAACTTATAATCTCCTAATTATTGAATGTGTTGTTATGATCTGCATAGAACTTTAAAAGTAGCAACTAAAATCACAAATGACAGCAGATAAATGGTAGTTAGATGACAAGGATCATTCAAAGGGCTGAGAAATAAATAGAGTTTAATTTAAATAATATTTTAAACAAAGGCATTCATTAGACATATTGACATTTTCATTTCAACATTGATACATATTTTAAAATTCTTGAACCAAAACATATATATTTCCTGTGTATACACACCATTTTGTCCTTTTCCTCCCTGTTGCTATGCCAACAAGGTGGGTGAGGCCTTCTCAACTGCCAAACTCAGCTGTCATCCCTTCACCCTAAAAGCCTTATAATTGCTTTTATTTGCATACGACAATTAGGCAGGATGGCTCACAGCGAGAAAAACCAACCTTTCTCTCCCCAAGTGCACACAACGCCAGCCTGTAATTTATAAAAGATACGCGCCATGTGGTGGAGCACTAAAATAGAGTGATGAGTCCTTTCATCTGATTGTAAGCCATTAACAAAAGAAAACATCCCCTTTCAGGCTATAAAAAATGCCTATCTGGTGTGAACCTGCAAAATCACAAAGTGCCCCCCTCCCCAATTCCCCCCACATAGACCCTTCACATTCATTATCACATTGAACTCAAAAGGAGCTCTGGTAAAAGAGTTACATTTGGGTATTTATGAGTAATGGGGTGCAAATAAAATCCACACTGGGCTTAAATTGCATCCAGTGCAGTTGGTGTTGGGGGATAGATTTCTTTTTCTTCTGTTTCTTCTTCTTCTTTCTTTTTTTTTTTCTTTTTCTAAAAAAACAAACTTGTTTTGCATTGCATTGAATGTTGAAATGTCATATTAATATAGTCATTATTACCCTTTTTCTTCGGAGAAACCATGACAGGATTTTCCAATCAGCATTCAGGTCTGTGAAAGCTCAAGTCAGGAGGAATGTGGATGGTTTAAATCATCCTCTGTTTCGGTTTTCAAAAGGTCTTCAAAAATTAGTGTCTAGTGTAAAAGGTCAAAACATGGTTAGAAATCATTTCGGTGATTTATTGTCATCATTTTTTCTCATGACTTTAATTCTAATTATTAAGATATTTTAATTTTATTCTCACAGGCTGCATCAAATCTAAGATAAAATTTTAAACAGATTTCTTTTAGACGCAATATTTTAAGTAACCAATTAGACTGTAGGGCTTTTCCACCCTTTTCTCAGAGTTTGTACCATTAGAGACCTTTACTTTACAGAATGAGCATCAAATTTGAACTTCGTTTCTTCTAAATTGTCCCGTTTTTAAAACTATTATTCAGAACACTAGAATTGTGACCTATTTCTTTCCCTAAGAATCTTTTAAAAAGCAATCAGCACTCCATTTTTATTCACCATTTGCTGAATAAATATTGATCATCTAGGTAATTTGGGTCCAGGATCTGCAAATGGATATAACTAATCACAAATCACTTAGTGTTGTGTCTATTTTTAGACCATAATTACACCATCTTGAAATATTTTATCCAGATTAAGAACTATAACGGAGTTTTATTCCAACACATACGTGTAAATTGTGATGGAAAAGAATTTGCTAAAGCAACAAAATATAAAACTAAATAGAAACACAGGAGACACTTCAAAAAGCAACAGTGAAACTAAGACCAGAGTATTGGCTGTCTGGTCAAAAAAAGTCAACTTGCTTTAGAAAATTATTAAAGAAAGGATATAAAGTTAAGAGACATGCAAGAATTTCACATAAAAGTGATAAAAGACATGAGCAGCAATGCATCAAAAAATAAATAATTAAAACACCAATGAGCATGTGAAAATTGCTGACCTTCACCAATAAGGAAAGAAAGGCAAGTTTTAGAAAACTTGCAGTCTAAGTGTTTACATATTAGAATGTAAAGATTTAAACAGTGATAATGCCATGTTGACAAGGACGTGGAGTAACAGGATCTTATATAAAGTCCATAGACATGTATGTTGTTCCTACTTTTCTGGAGGACAATTTGGCTATATGCAATGACATTTTAGATGAGCATGCTGTTTGACCCAAGAACTCCACTTATAAAATTTATCCTAAGGTAAAAAATCAGAGAAGAATGACCTATGCAGGGGTGTTTTTAAATGATATGTGCTACTTTATTACTATTAAAATTTTGAAACAAGCAAAATGTGTGTTAAATAAGTTATACTATACTCCTATGGTGGAATATCATGCAACCATACAAAAGTCAATATAGATCTCTTTGTTTTACATGAATATATAAAAATCTCTATATACATACCTACATTTATGTATATATATATATACATATAAGTGTATAACTAAATGAAAAAAGAATAATACATAATATAGTATTCCATTCATGTAAACATACACTATATACAGATATACACATACACACACATACATATACCCACAGAGTCTGAGAATCTATCACAGCCTATTAGGAATGATTTTGCAGTACAACTATGATGGACCTTTAAATTTTCATGTGTTGCTTTAATTCACAGCAAATACAATTTTTAGAGAAAAGGCATAGTCATGAGTAGACTTTCAATGAGTAATGTTTTACTTTTTAGGACAACATGTATTCAAACTTTCCCAACATGGCTGTTTCCTTTTTCTTTTATCCTTTCTAGAACCACTATTTACTTTCCTGCCCTCTTCCCAAACTCCATTTCTAGTCTGCTATTTCCTTTTTATCTGTTATAACTCCAGTACCAAAATTATCATTTTAATAAAATTTATCAATATATTAAAGATTCATCTGGAAAGAATAAGATGGTACTATAAGGATCTAGAAACTTGGTAATTCCATCCAGAGTTATATTAATTAAGGAATAATGAAAGATATCAGCCTGTTCATTTCCTAGGGAATATGTCCATTTCTTCTTCCCATATGAAGGAAAAGCAGACAAGTCCAAAGAACAGCAACCTTGCATGAAAATTTGGCTCTACTGTTCCCCTTCTGAGTAACAAAGCCTATTTACTCTTGGGTTTCCAGCATGGTTATAGTAAGTGCTGAATAAATAGTTGTTGAATCAATGGGATGAAACCGAAATCAGGAAAATTCACAGCATACGTGACTCTATTTATGCTAGATTATAGTAGAGGTATGGGTTAACCTTTAAGAATTAAACTACTAGTTACCTCTCACTGGCAAGTTGAAGAGGAAAACAACTATTGGGGGGGCGGGTAAGTCAGCATACAACTATTTAACCTTTTACACAGAAATACTATGTGTTCAAAAGAAATGTATTTTACAAATGGTTTGGTTGTGCTTTGCTGTACTATTTATTTCTTCATTCTTGCTCTGGGGCTACAAAATTTTAGGACTCCCCCAAAAAAGAATCCAGACAAAATTAATAGTCAGGAATTCACTCTTATTGAAAACATAGATTAAAAATTTCAATGCAATTAATGCTTAAGAAATATATTCTGCATTTCATTAACATGCATATTATACACAAATGAAATTCCTTAAAGTCAAAGGAAGCCTAATATCCTAATTGATTAAAAATGTATGTAGCTTTTAAGATCTTCTCTTTTCCACAGAAAATATTCATTTATTTTTCCTCTTAATTTCATAGGACACACAGAATATGGTAAATTGTTGGAAAGATAGGATCTGATGAAAAGTTTTTTTGAAGACAACTCTAATGTGTAGCATAAACACATTTATTGAAGGAAAGCATAAGAAATTGGGTGAAAGCAAAATATGTAGGATTAGGTTTTCTAAGATTATCCCTTATACTTTCACAAGTCAATTGATTTATACCCCTCTGGGCTCTATTGCTCCAGTTTAAAAATAATGACATATACATCTTAAGGACACTGTTGTATTACTGTCGTTTTATTGTATAACTCAGAGATAAGGCAAATTCTCTTCTTGGAATATAAGAAAAAATATAATAAATGAATGTATTTGGAGGAAAGGCCAGTTCCTCATCTGCATTTCATATGGATTATTTATTATTCTTTTTTTTTAAGTTTTCAAAATCATAACTATTATTTTCAGAAACTCTACATACCTTTTGTAATTTTTCCTTATCCTTGAGAGTATCATTCTTGAAATGAAAATACGCATGAGAAAAATGCTGTGTGGGGCAGCTGAATTTTGTCTATTGTCTGCTTCTTCTAAGCTGCCTTTCATTAGTGGCTGGAGCCCTGGAAGATGGGAATAGTGACTTAGTGAATATTGACTGCCTCGGAAATATAAAAATCTGCTCACTTTCCATCCACAGAGTTATAGATACCCATTTCATCTTATTATGTGTCCTATGTCTAGAAAAGATGTATAAAATTTATCCCACGGACAGCGAGTGCACAATTATGAGGAACCATTATGCATTATTATTTTTCATTATTACTGTGGTTCAAATCAGATCATATCAACAGAGAAAGAGCTTACACTTTTCTTTTTCAAGGATAGGCTTTGTAGTTTATATTGTGATGAGATTTCTGCAGCAGTACTGGTTGGGAGAATGCCCTACTTAAATCATGAATCCTTTGGAAAAAGTGTCCAGGCAGAGTGTTGTACCTTTTGGCTGTAGTCTCTTTACAGGGCTTTCTTTCTTATCTCTCTTTTTTTTTTTTTTTTTTTTAAATTTTCTCCCCACAGCTGTAATTAAAAGGAATCCATGGCTAAGAGATCTAAGTCTTAAATGAAATCTTGTACGGAGTGAATATGCGTGAGACATCAATGATAGATTTGGAGTTGGACAAGCAGAGGCTACTTTCTGCTCCCTTTTGTACCTCGGCCCCTGGTCCGTCAGCTGCAGAGTTGACTCTGACACTTTTAGGGAACAAAGTGTCTCCAGCACTACCTCTCCCCGCCCCCCCCCACCTCAATTCAAACCTCATCTGAGAACTCCTGAAATGAAGCTGTCACTCAGTGCTGCTTGGGGACCTGTCAGCACAACATTGAGCCTTTTCATTTTGATGGGTCAGCCTGCAATCCCCTTGAAAGAGAAGTCCGTGCCACCGTGGTTTCTCTTTCCACAGGAATTCTGAATTCTAATGAAACTCCAAATCGCTCAATAAAGGCAGGGGCACGAGGAAGTAATCCAACGCAGATCTGAGTGAAATTTGTATTTTATCTTTTTTTCCCAGCCCATTATTCTAATCGCTTAGGTGGTTCACAAAGGGTTGGTTCGCAGGGCAGGCGCAAGAGGAATGAGGTGTCCTTTGTCCTGATGCTACACTGAGATTAGGTAGCAGCTCTCTGAAAATGAAAGGCCGTGGCTCAAATTTCCTTGGGTAAATATCCATCCACCTATTGTAGTTTGCACCTACAGTGCTACACATACATTTCTAATGTGTGCTGGGCTGATAGAGAAGACAGAAATTCATATTAATGATTTTTTTTTATTTTTGTGTGTGCCAATGAAACTGTCTTTCAAAAACCTCATGCAAACCTTTTGCCACAAAATGAAGAAAATAGCATCGTTACTCTCTACTTTGTGATCAGAAAGCAGCCATGCCTCGTATATATCATCTGGACAGCATCACACAAATTATTATTTTCATTATGCTCTTTCGACAATGTTCACATTTTTGAGATACTTACATTGAGTGTCATACATTGTTCAACCGCTGTCTTTTCTCCCTCTTTTTTTTTTTTTGGAAAATAATTAATAAAACTTTGACAAGGAAGGCATTATTAATGTGATTGCCCACTAAATACTATTTCTTAGTATATTTATGTAGTATATGCTAGAATTATAGTTTCAATTTACATGAAAAGGCAATTACCTCAGAAATTTACCAATGATTTTTTTTACCCCATTTCTGGGGTATTTATATACTTACCATATTACAGTATATATGATATATATGTAGTTGATATAGTGTGTGTATATATATACACACACACACACATATATATATATATATATATATATATATATATATATATATTCCTAGCCCATTCAGACAGATTGGCACTAGAAAGCTGTATGGATAAATAAGTAGGTATACCTATATAGGTATACATTATCTACCTATAGATATAGATGTAATGAAGTTGACTTTATTGCTTTGCAACCAGCTGAACCCCAGTTAACCTCTGTTTTTATTATTTAACCTTCATGAAGAGCTAATGAGCAATATTTCAAATGTTACCATGTCCTTCCAACCTTTACAACTGTACAATCATATCTGAGTTACTTAAAACCTAAGAGCCACCAATCCATATTGTCTTCTTCCAGTATGACACATCACCCTAAATATGTCAACTGCCTGTACTGTAACTGTCCAAAGAACATCTGTTATAACGCCAGGTGCTTCAGCGTCCAGACGTCCGTGGTAATTTTTCCCCAGTTGATATAGAGGACGCAACAGACTATCGCATACAAAACAATTCCTCCTTACCCAGCCTGGTTGACTTTCGTATGTATTAAGAAGAATGTTTGAAAAAAACAATCAGAATTATTACATTGTGGTTTCTCTTGTAGTTTTGTTCCATGATGCATTTTATCCTATATGCATGAACTACTAGAAAACAGTGAAATGTCCATAAAAAATTGAAATCTACCCTATAAAGGAGGGAGAAAGAGAATAAGAGAAGAATGAAAGAGAAAGAAAATCATGTTATATTAATAGTTTTTTTTTTCCTCTTAGTCCATTCTTAGTCTAATATATAGAAATATTAGGATGAACAAACCCACGGTAGTTTGAATTGTTAATCTCCATTTTTCGATCAGATTGATTCACCATGGAGCTAGACTTTACTGTATCTTTCTTATGGTTAATTATTGCTCATTTCTGATTTTTGTGTGTGCTGAATGTTTATATACATGTACTCTGCCATAGACAAAAAGGTCTCCCCTTTTGTCTTGTTTTAGATTCAATCGCATATCGACTGTGCACACACACCACGCTGAGGCTTGGGAGAACTTTAAAATTAGACACTATGGAGCTTTCAAAACTATCAAGAATAGATATTATTTTTTCTAAAACCGCAGAAGCCACTAACATTGCCTGAGGCTTTATTTTATTATTTTGTGGTATTTTCTAAATATGAAGTATAAAGACCCAGTGGGGAAGTTTGTATTAGATTTTAGTTGTTTTGTTTGTTGTGGCTCAAGGACAGACTTAGAATGTCCATGCCCTTCAAACCCCTCTAAAACTCTACATTTTTTATTGGAGAGAGAAATTACAAACTGTTTTCTTTCATTTTAGGGATAAATGCCCAAGTCTGAAAGCTAAATAGTCAAGCGTGACTAGCAATGGCTGCTTCACCATTGCTAACTCACAGCCTGTCTAATTCCACTCCTGGGTGGTTACCCTTCTTCAGAATTGAGGTATACTGGGTTGTCCATTTTAATACTTATTTTCTGCAGCAGACACAGATAAAATACAGAAAAATTATACTGTGACACAAGCTAAACGAAAAAGAAAAATTTATTTGAAACACTGCCCTTAGTGTTTATGTATACAGAAGAGTGTGTCAGCAGCTGAACTTGCTCTGCTTGTTGAAAAAAGTCATTGCCTACCACCTAGGAATTCACTTGTGAAGCTTTTCAAACATTTCAGATGCGGAGAAACGTTGCCAGTTACTGGTGCAAAATATGGCAGTTCATAAAATAAGATTCACATAAATTAACCATGCAAAACATGAAACTATATTTATGTTCAGCTTGGGTAATTCTTCAGATCAACATTTTAATGGAGAGTTGCTTAAACTACCCAAATACAAACTAGGCTAAAAACAGACTTTGATAGTAAACACTTAAATTTGACAAACCCACTTGCTCCTGGATTTTACATTTAACCACGGGATTGAAATCACATGTCTTCCTCCCAGAGTAATAGTAGCTCTTGTTACAGCAACTGAGTTAGGCTTCCAGGTCAGCTTTTCAGCCTGGAAGTCTGGATCCATGTTTGAATATCGTGTCTACTATTGGTCTAAGTCATGTACTCCGCAGAAGGTAGTGCTGGGTGTTGAGAAATGCCTTATGCAATGAATTCATTGAGGCAGAAATGTACCTGCACACACCTGGGGAGTGGAGGGGCCCATATTTGCTTGCAAAAGTGCCTGTCATTGTCAGAGGAGTTTTTCTCTAGGAAAATGCATGCCCAAAGTTCTGAATATGTTATATTACATATCTTCAGGAGGTTTATTTCTTTAGTTACTGCCTGGTACTCTACCTTATCCCAGCTTTGCCTCCCCACCCCACCTCCCTCTGGAAAATTAGCCAGAATTCCTGTGAGTTTTGACTCAGTGTTCCAATTGAAGGCGAAAATTCTAGACAACCTAGCAGTGAGTTCCAATCCAGCAGGACACACACTTCGCCCTGAGTAGAAAGTCTGCTGGAGACGTTCTGGGACACATGCCCCAAGGAGGCAGGCAGGCAGGAGGCTATGCTTCTGTTTCTTAACTCATGAAATAAAAGAAACTGGCCCATTCCCTACCCAATGTACCCCCTAGTAAGAAGAAATGAGAAAGTGCTGGGGAGTGTTTTAAAGCTGGAGACAGAAGATGCCATGCAAGTAAACAGTAATTTTATTAATTGCCTCGAAATAGAAAATGTTGAGTTTAAATCAATGCTACTTTCTTCAGAGTAAACACTAAATATAACATCCAAAGTGATATGGTTAAAATTAAATTGCAGTTGCTTTTCAAGCTGGTGAGATACAATTAAAAATGGGGGGATATTGCCAAATCTCATTTACTGCTTTCTTTCCTGTGAATAATATCTGTACATTCAGGTCTTCATTACACTTCTCAATGGCACAGGAATCCCATTGCATCTGCTTATTCTTGATTTTTATCAATGGGAAAAAAATTATTAAGTTCTCTTGCAACATTAAGCACCACAATAATACACACTAGGGCTGCTGCAGAAACCAAGAACCCTGCTGTCATCCTCCCCCTCTGCCTCTCCCCCCCTCCAATTCTAATTGTGTGTGTGTGTGTGTGTGTGTGTGTGTGTGCACATGCATGTGCATGCGTGTGTTCTTATTCTTGGGCTATAGTGTGCCATGTGGCTGTCCCTGACTGCTCACAGTATGCCAAACAGCACTGAATGGGTTAATTGGCATTTTAAAAAGGTAATTGTAAAGTGTAACCGGCAGGGCTATCACCAGAATTGGGAGGTAGAATGTAGGTCTCCCACCCACTGGAGACTCTTACATCTTGAAGAGCAGGCTGAAGACAAAAGCGA